GTGTGTGTGTGTGTGTGTGTGTGTGTTGTTGTGCGCGCAGGCAGCTGATGGATGTTTCTCTCTTCGATGTTTCTAACTCTCTATTCCTCTCCCTTCCTTTCTGTAAAAAAATCAATAATAAATAAAAAAGCTTTTTAATGTAACTTTTATGATATAATTACATAGCATCTGATTCACCCCCTCCAGGTGTGTAATTTGATGGCGTTTAGCATATTCACGGAGTTGCGCAACCACCACAACCACCGTCAGGCCGTCTCCATCGCCCAGGAGGACAGTGCGTGCCTGCGGTCAGTGCCGACTGCCCAGCTCCCCCCCGCCACAGGCAGCCCCCCTCTATTTCCTGCGTCCGTGGACTGTGCACTCTGGACATTCACACACGTGGAGTCCCACGATACAGGCTCCCTCGTGTCTGCCTTCATTTAATTTCTGCCCGGAAATGTAAACTCAACATTGAACATCATGCTTACACCCGCTTCACAGGTCACGGTTTTTGCTATTATAGGAATTTCTGCTCTTAGAAAGCCTTGTTTAGTCCAGCCGAACACCGCTCAGGAGACGGCTGCTCAGCATCGGAGATGATCACAGGCCTAACAGAGGCCTTCTCCGCCCGCCAATCTCGCAGGGGAAGTTTGGTGTGGTTTTGTTTGCGTGTTTATTTGTGGGGGAGGGGGAGCAGTTTGGTTTTTATCCAGGAAGCCATGCAGTTTCTTAAACCCCCCTCCTGGGTTGATATGAGGAGAAACGGTGTTCAAGTGCCTACGGCTCAACAGGAGGCACCTGTTAACATTGTTAATCATCGAAACCCCTTTGCCTCCCTTGAGGGCGTCCTCTCCACCTCCCCGGGAAGCACCGGGGCTGTGCCAACCTTCCCCCGCGCTGCCAGGAGGCTGCAGTGTCCAGCCCGGGGCTCACAGACCAAGGCCAGGCTGACCCGGGGAGATCCCCGCAGAACACGATTCCGATCCACTCAGCGACTTGCTGTTTTAGTTCTTAAAAAAAGTTCTCCTTCTTTAGCGCATTTATTTGTTAAGAGCGAACACCTGCTCATCCTACCAACGTCAGGAGCAGGAGGGTACCGTGCGACCTTTCCCGCATCCCTCGAACCCTTAACCCTCCTTAGCCCCGACGTTTCTCCTGTCTGCTGTCTCCTTGTCGTTGTCCCTGTGCGCACACGAGCAGCATATCCGACACCGTTCTGCGCCTGGACGCTTTTCCTGTGAACAGTAACGGTCGGCCCCGGCGCACACCGAGGCCTTTTCTTGCTGCTGCTGCTGCTGCTGCACAGCGTCCCCTCGACCTGACCGGAGGCACCGGGACCCCCTCACCCTCCCCGCGGGAGGGAGGGGCGCACGCAGCTCGCAGTCAGTGCGCGGGAAGGGCGTGCCTC